TTATTAATAATTATTAATAAAGGTTATTATTAATAATTATTAATAAAGGTTATTATTAATAAGATCAATCAGTAGCAACCACAAAAATCAACAAATGTTGAACAGTTTAAATAAGTTCTGTTTCCTCCTTACATGACTGAAAATAAATTACTAGTTTTTAAATAAAGTTTGTTTATAATGTATTAGTATTAATAAATACTTTAAGTGGCAGTAGATAGTAGTTTAAAGTTAAAAATAAATAATAACATTTAATAAATACATTTATATATATATCAATATCAATAATGAATATAAATATTAATGGACTGCCACTTAATGAATAAAATTCTGAATTGTATGTAAAAATCTGGTTAATAAATTAGTGTAGATCAGCTAATAATGTAATATCAAAAAGAGCTGAAACCAGTACCATCAGATTAAAAATGAAAAGAAAAAAAAATGCAATTTATAGAAAATATTTTAAAATATTATAGTCTCATTATATAGTTAAGAGTTTAAAGACTCATAAAACTTAATTCTTGAAATTTGCTAACAAGATGATGCTACTGAATAAATATTTCTAAAATATGAAAAAAAATTAAGTAACATTTCTGGACAACTAATCCAAGAAGAACCTTCAAATTTCAATATCTAGTTTCAAATAGATATTATAAGTTTAAATTGTATTAATATTTTAACAACAAATTGTGTACTCAATTATCAATATCGGGTTTCAATGATAGTACATCAATATTTAAAAATAAAAAATCTATATTTAATTTTTTGTAATTAATTTAAAAACATTTAATCAGCTAATTTTAATTAAAAAATTGATTAAAAATGACAACCTATTTTCTGTGCAGATGAATATTTTAAATTAAATGGTGAACGAATTCCATTCAAGCAATTAGGATTTCCATCATTAGAAGCCCTATTACAATCCTCTAAAAAGTTTAATATTCAAAATTATGGAGGCAATGCTATTGTTAAAGCTGTTGGTAATAGCAAAACACAACATTTGACTGAACTTATAAAAAAACAGAAATCAAAACCACCAAAAAAAAAACCGGTAAGTCCTTATTTATAAAATTAAATTATATTATCAATGTATAGTTGGAATTAGAACCCAACAAATCATTTTTATTTATTTTTTCTAATTTTATCATTTAGAAACTAGGTCTAATTATTTGTCATTTGACCAATACTTTAAGAGGGTATTACATGTGTATTATTTTTTTTTAAATATTTTAAATCTTAAGGTTAAATGAAAGAGAAGTATTTTAGTATTTTATTAAATACATTCAGGGTACTTAATTATGGCATATATTTATAAGGGGAAACGGAGTAATAAACACCATTTTGCATAATAACTCTATACCACTCAACACCAGGCACCTAAATTTAATAACTGATAACTTATAAGCTTTTTGTCCAAATTTTTATTTTTATGTATCTAAATTCTACAAAAAAATAAAAAAAAAAATATTCTACTTCAGAATAATAAGAAAATAAGTATGAATTTAAAGATATATATTGATATTTAAAAAAGTGTTGTTTTATTTTGACTAGAAATTAAATAAGAAAAATATTTTCAAAAATATACATAGATTTTGAAATAATGAGTATTGTTTGATAAAAGAATTATTCTTTACTAAGTATTAATTTAAATTCTATTTACTTGTTTATTAATGTAATTTTTAAATTATTTTAACATAGTTTAATAATTAATCAATGTATTTATTGCTTACATTTATATATCTTAGATTATTTTTTTAAAATCCTTTTTTAATATTGTATTTGATCTTAAATAATAAATTATAAATGTATGCATTTTTTAGTTTATAGGTTCTCAAAATGCTCCAAGAAAATTTGGTACATCAAATACCTATAACAGACCTAATAATTATTCTAGACCAGGAAATAATGGCTTGAATAATGGATCAGTAAGTGTAAAGTGTAATATTAATAATAAATAGTAAACCATATTTAAAATTTTTATTTATTTTTAGTCAAAGAATAACTATCAAGGTACTTCTATTCCTAATTACACCAACAGTTATAATAGACAACAATCATCATATAGCGATAACAAACATAATAGATTCAATGTATGTATACATATAACATATAATATATTATTTAATAGTAATAAGACCTTCAATTCTAAGTATACTAGTATTTATTTCTACCCTATTAATAGATTAAAATTAAAATTAAATATAAATGGTGCTCAAAAAATTTTTGTTTAGAAATATAAATAAATAATTTTCCGTAGCAATATTATACTTAACATTATTTATACTGGAAATCATTTTATTAAATTTCTTTTTGAAAGGGTATATGTTATTAAGCATAATATTTGCATACATTTTAATTACAAGTCAATTATTTACAAACATTTGCAGTATATTGTAGGTTAGTAGGTATTTTTATCATTTTATATATAGTATAAATATAAATTTATTTGGTAAAAAAATAAATATTATTTGATGTTAATAATTACTAAATTTGATATTCAATTTTAAAATATTATTTTATTTTATTTTTGTATTTATTTATTATTACATACAATGGTGTAAATTGAACCCAATTTCTGGTGATGCAGAGGCATATATCCTCAATCTATAATTTCTGACACACCAATAATCCAACTTCCTAAGTAAAATCCTTTCTGTAAGCTATATATATCTCTTTAAAAAATAAATACATTTGGTTACCATAAATAACAATCTAATTATCTATGGTGGTTAGTGGTTACACAATTTTAGAATATAAATAGGGATAATAATTTAATTGATTAGGTCTAATACATGCACAAAAATTACAATTTTGTACCTGTTTATGTGTAAATTATACAAAAAAAGATAGTTACAAAATTAAAAATATCATAGGTACACAAATTTTATTTCAATGATTTTCTGATGGTGCTAAAACACTTTTGTGCCACTGATTACATATTCGCTTATTATTTCTAAAATAAATATTAGATACTATTTGATTATTATTAACATAATGATACAATTTTTTTCAGATCAATGAGCCAAAAACATTTGATCATAATAGTTATAAAAAGGTAAATAGAATTAATTATTTTACTTGTTAATGAATATTTTTATTCTACTATTAATAATGTGATTTATAATATTTATTTAATTTAGCCTCAGTTTTCTATAAGTAACTATAATAATAGTACTAAGAGCTATAGTGAAAACCTTCAATTAAACTCTGATATATGTTTGCCTGAAACTAAAGTAAGACATATAATTGATATTTTTAAAACTTTATTTTAAAATCTCAACTGTTAAAATGTATTACTTCTATAACAGAGGAAAAAAAGATAAATAATATATATATATTATTTATTACTAAATTTATGTTTATTTTCTACATAAATCATAGTTAGTAAAATAAAATATGGAATATTATTATATAAGTTTAATTTTTATTTTGGGTATTCATTTCTTTTATTTTACAATTAAAACTCGATTAACAGTCGTCAATGTCAGGCTGTGATTGTTAATTGAAATATTGCTATAAACATACATATTATACAGATTACAGATTTCTAACCACAATTATTTATTTTATTATTACCTATAAAAAACTTTATTATCTTTAATAAATTAATAAATATCAGTACTCTCTGTACACAAACTTATTGAAACCAATCTAAAAAATTGTTTGGTCCATATAAGCACTTTTATATGCATAAAAATGCACAGGCAATTTTTCTTATAAGTAACAAAAAGTAATGAGTATTCAAATTTTTATTGTTTTAAAATTTAATAAAAAAAAAGACGAACAAATGTATTTTTTTAAATAGTAAAAATATTAGTTAATTATTTGTTGCATCTGTTGATATTTACATGAAGAAATAAAAAAATAAATTTTTAAATAACTTTGTTTAAAATAATTTTCTAATACAACAATTATTCATGTGCTTACTATTGTATTATTATTTATGTTTTTATTGAAAACTGGTTCATTTGTCACTCTCTAGGTTAGCTAGACTGCATTAAATTTTTTTCTATCAGAATATTTTCATAAATTCTAAACAAAATTTAGACACTTTTTCTTACTTTTTCAATATTTTTACTTTTTTGATAAGTTTTTTACAGATTTTTTGTAAGCTTTAGGGTGATTTTTGGTGTTTATTAAATTTATTTACATTCATTTTTATTTTTTTTTAAATGATTTCTTTATTTTTACACGGCACTTTAAAAATTCTACACTGTATTAAAATTAGATTATAATATTTTGCAGCCCCTCAGACTTAATTTAAGTAAGTCAAAATTGGTTTTTATTGTAAGTTATACAAATACTTTATGGCTTATACTTTGTAATGAAAATTTGAATATTTTAAATAATGGTGTAAAATGAAAATAGTCATTAGAGTTTGGAAGTTATAGGAGTTTTATATTGTTCAGTATGCTCCTGATTTATAGAAGACCAAGCTAGAAACCCAAGTTACACAATATTGAGTGTAAAAATTCAAAATTTAAAATTAAAAATGCATATTTTGTTGATTTTTAAGGAAAAAGTACTTATTTCTTTATTTACACATGTATATTATGTATATTCAATATTTTTTAAATAAAACTGATTTTTTTGTTTCTTAAACTATGTATTTTAAATAATCTTATTATTTTCTTTAATGATAAATTTTCTTTTTTTAGTATAGCTTTTTATAATTTTTTTTTCTTTTTATATTTATATAATTACAATTAATATGTAATATCAATAATTAATAGACAATAAGTAATGACATTTTTATGTTTTTGAATAATGAACTTGGAATAATTGCTTATATATTTTACATTTTTTCATTCATACTTTATAATTTTTTTTTTTTTTTTTTTGTGTATATTTATGTGCATATTTTGTCTATTTTAGCTCATATAACTTCCAAATCCTAGCCATTAATCTAAAATAATGCATTGTGAGTGAATTTGGTATGCTACTATGGAAGTTAAGTGTTTATTATTAGCAAATGAAATTTTTATAAGTGTTTGGTTTACTTGATATGATTATTTTATTTGATGTATATTTTCCAAAGTATGAACTAATTTATACTCATCATACATAGTTTATGTGTTGAACATTGTTACTTGTGTCTGGTGATTTTTCATATAGCTAAATGATATAAATTATAATTTAATTATATGCCATAATTGCTTTATTAACTGTCAATTGTTTATTTTATATGGTATATTAAGACCTACTACTTAAAAGATATTGGACTTGTTTTAAAATATATAAAGATTGATTTATTAGGTATGCTTGGACCTCTTGTTTTTTCTTTAATAATGTTATTCAAAATCTGAATTTTTAAATATACTTAAATGCATATTTTCCAATGCTTGAATTTTTTTTTTTTTATTTAAACAGTGACCTAGAAATACCAATATCTATTTTTCAAATGAGAACTACCCTTTTTAATTTTGAATAATTCAGCCATATTTGTTTTGAAAATTTTAATGTATCTAACTAGAATTTGAACAAGTAGTTTTTAACTTCTTCAGCATCTGTAAAAATATTTAATTTTGAATGTATCTTTATTTTATATACTTAACTAAAAAATAAAAATTATACACTATTGTATTAGATTAATAAATAAATAAACTTATTTTTATAATTTTATTAAATATTTGGTTTAATTAGAATATTTTTCTTAAATATTATTTTTGTTCAATTCTGGTACATAAGTTAAGAACCACTTAGACAAATTATTTAACTATTAAAATTGTTGAATGTATTTTTTACTAAGAAAATCCCCCCCCCTATTTTTATGTGCAAATCAATTAATTTTTGTTTCCAAGAAAAGTTAGAAATTTATTAAATTCAATAAATTAAATATTTGGTAAATTTCAGTTTGTTTTAAGTTGAAATATTTAAATAATTTTGTTCTTTATTTATTGAACTATACATTTTTATTATTTTTAAATAAAATATAAATTTTTAGTATTTATTTTGTTATTATAGCCTTTCAATAATCTATCCAATGATAGCAGGAAAAATGGTGTTCAATCAGTTCCAATTTCAAATGTAAGCAAAAAAATCATATTAAAGTACAAAGTGTACATTTTTGTGACTATTATTATTGAATTTTCTTAAATGTATATATGTTTCAATTAATAATTTATTTTGATTTATTTTTAATTAAGGATATAAAGTCATTGAATGAAAACACCAAATCAGATCATATTCCGCTTACTAGCAGTTGCAGTAGCTTAGAATCAACATACAGTTCTAGTTCTGCTAGTTACAAACCTATGCATACATTAGTAAGTTATATATCTTTAATTTTGTTAGTCTTTCTATATTTATTAAATGTATTATAAATTCAATTTTTATTTTATTATCTTATGATAACAAAACAATTAAATGTGTAGTTCCATCATTACGTATCTAATTGTTATTATATGATATCTTTAATATAATATTAACATGTACAAAGAATATGTTGGTAAGATGTTTTGATTGTACATCAGGATTTTCAAAGTTTGTTTATCAATTTTTTTTTTTTTTTTTGATCTGAGTGATTATAAAAAATAAAAATATTAACATTATACTTATTCCCAATTTTTTTTTTTACAAAGTTGTGTTAATAATATTGTAGTTTTAAATTATTATCAATTTTATTAAAAATATACAAATAATATTTTTTTATAATTTATAATTTTATATAAAAGTTTAATCAATTTCAGATTTTTATTTCGTATTATATTATCATAAACATAAAAATATGATTATGCATATTATAAGAATTAAAGTGTTAGTTTTTGAGTTATTCTATTTTGGCCATTATATTTGGTTTAATATTACAGTGTCCTTATAAATAATTTCTACTGTATTATAATTGTAATAAGATATCATATTAGATGATATATAGAGTTATTTATGAAAATACTTGTCCCTTTTTTTCCTTTAATTCATATATTAGTTTGAATTTTGATTTTGAAAGAAGTGCATATTATTAAATTTATAGTTACATATAGCTCATAAGATGATGTTATCAACACATGACTCACATGTGTTGGTTTTCCCTTACAAACATACAACATTTAGCAGAATCCATTTTATGTTGTTAGCTTTAATATATTATGAGTAAAATCCCAATCTATGGGACTATGAGTCGCAAAATAATTTGTATAGGTCACAATCTTATAATTAAAATATATATGAAAATAATTTTAATAGAAAATTCATAAATGTCTTAGTTATGTTTTATTTGATACCTCTATACATAATAATAATTATAAGTATTGCTAGTATTGTGGATTCTATAATGTAGTTATCAATATATCTTTAGTTAAGTTTATATTAGATTTTTATCATATTGATATATGTGCTCATGACTGTTAATGTGTATTGGTCAATTTTCCATCGATTTGAGCTATAAGCAGTACATAGAAAATAAGAGAGTAGGCACAAACAGAAAGTTTTAGTTTACAATTAGACACTCATTTTTAAATATCTAAATTTTATATGATGTATATTAAGTTTAAGTTTTTCTAATGGATAAATTTATTGTTTGTAAAACTATATTTGGTGTAGTACCAGTCAATCAGTTCTATCAGACAGTTCAGTATAATACAACATTTTTTTTTTTTAGTATTGGAGGGGGTAACCAACAAACTGTAAATTAATGGGTCACCATTACAAAAAAATTGGGAAACACTGGTCTAGGGTATCTCATAAACTTTTATTGATATTATAATTTTTTAAAGAGTTAAATTTATGTAAAATATTACTACTTTAAGATGCTTATAGCTAACTTTAAAATTATAACTATAATATTAATAAAATCCTTCAATGTACCTTAGATTATTTTTTTACCTTTTAAATTGATAATAAATAAATTTACTTCTATATTTAAGCTAATAATACAAAATGGATTCTGCTAAACGTAAATTTACTATGATGTACATTAGTAAAATAGAGACAATAAATATGATTATAAAATCTTTTTAATAATAGTTTTTTTAAAGAATTTAAAATATATATGTTATTTAGTTCAATACTTATACTTAAACGATACTTTTAAATTTTTTTACATGACTAAATAAATTTATAATATTTTGTCATTTTTGTTTGTGTATAAATTAATTGATTTGTATATCAATGATAATTTATCTAATGACCTAATAGTCTAATAGTCATTAGTAATTTAATAAACATTGATTGATAATAGACATATTTTTAAATTTTTCATTAATGTATCTTGACACTACCTTTATAATAGTTATTATAATATTTCCATTATATTATTTTGAAGACATTTAGTATGTTGACATAATTAATTAAATAATAATTAAGAAAAAATAGTTATAAAACTGTATAAGTATACTTAGATTTTCACATTCTATAATATTTATTTATTTAAGCCTGACAAATTCCAAATTGGAGATACAGTCAATAAAAATAACGAAGATACAATTCCAAGAAATCACATAATCATGCAGGTAATTTAAAAACTTAAACATGTTTCAAGATTTTGTTAATAAATATAGTTACAATAATATTTTTTTATTTAGGAGAATAATAGTGAATTTAAGAGATCAGTAAAGCAACATAAATCAATCCCAAAGTTTTCATCACTACAAAACATGGTAAGTTTAAACTATTATTTATGTTCATTCATATTAATAATTGGGTACTAATTTATTTTATTTTATTTAAAAATTACTAATTCATTCAATTTGATGCCATATTAAAATAATTTTTAAAAATGAAAATTATTTTTTTTTCATGTTTAAAGCATTTGATATATAAGTTAAATATAGTATAAATAAGAAATTAAAATTTCAAATATTTTTACTTGGGTAGAGTATATTCTTAATTTATAATTTACAGCCGCCTATAAAAATATCAACTGCTCAAAGTAGACTTGAAAAATACCCTAAAAAATGTGAAGAACAAACTAAGGTAAGTAGTTTTTTAATTATTTAAAATAATATTATATAATTTGATTTTAAATCATATATTTATAATATTGTTAAATTAATTATATTTATTATAATAAAATAACCATCATAATTTTTGATCCAATTCTTGAAATAAAATTACTTTTACTTGTATAATGCATGTTAATAGGGCAGTAATTTTTTTACTGGAAAAAATGTACCATAATGTTTACTAGAGTTTTACCCCCTATTAGTATTACAAAATTATATTTTAAGAATATAAAAATTGATATATGTAAAGTATAGTTTTAAGTTTTTCTGTGAAACTGTATGATGAATTGACTTCAAAATATTCGAGTTTAAACTAGTTTCTGAAATTTTTAACATGTTGTTTTGGTTCAATAATAATAAATAATAGTAAATTCTATATAATATCAAGATTAACGACTTTCGAGTTTTGACCATTTAATTATAATTAATACATTATTATATTATAATATACCAAATCGGTGTATTTATGGTAAGGGTATCTAAGGCATGTTTGGGGGTAAGCTTTGAAGTCCTGTAGTTTAAAAGTGGCTATACGCTATACACTATAATTTTATAATTTTACTCAGTACCCTTAACGTTTTTACTTAGTATTATCACTTTATTGTATGAAATTGGCAATTTTTTACTAAAAAGTAATTTCCTGCTCAGCACAGATTTAAATATATATTTGGGATAAATATTTGTTAGTTATTGTCTATTGAATCATTCAATATGAATGTCACTTTAGTTGACAATAATTTAGGTAAGATTAAGTATCCTGAATAAAAATATAATTCAATGAGCGTGTTATAGATTGTGCGTTATACATAACATTCTCAAATTTCAACAGAAATATCAGCAGTTATTTAGTTATCATTATTTGAAATTTTACTTATATATTTGTTTATTTTATTTTTAATAATTAATATTAACTAATTACGCTTAACAAAAATACTAAATATTATTACATTAATATAATTAATATTTTTGGTTCAACAATATACTTAACTACTGATTGTATAAACTAGTTTAGGTGCTACACTACAAACTATGTTAATTTAACTATTATTTTGTTTATTTTAAAATAGTATCATTCTAATGACATTGCGTCATTCATTATTTAATATATTATTATTATTATTATTATATAGAGTTATTGAAGGTCTACGTCACACGAGGTACGTTACCGCAGGCAGTGGCATATCCAGAAAATTCTTTTTATAAGGGGGGGGGGGGCACATACTGTCTAAAATTTCACCAAATATACTACCAAAAAGAAAAAAAAGTCATTAGATAAAAAAGGCTTGCAAGTTGCCAGTTATTTAAGAGACTAATATTTTCAATAATAAAAAAAGTATAAAATACTATTAATGGGGGGAAGGCGCAATCCCCATAGTCCCCCCCCTAAAATACGCTCTTAACTGCAGGAGTCACCAATTAATATTCTTAAAGGACCATATTCGGAATGTTGTCATAATATATATTATTTATTTTCTTTGTCTGCGGGTCGAATAAAATTTGTTCGTGGGCCGTCATTTGGTGACCCCTGCACTACTGTATTAACAGTAAAACGCACTTTGATTCAATTTAGTGTTTACCATTACTATTAAGACAATAGATTTTTATCGTCACCGAAGTTATGGATGTGGGCCATAAATTTATAATATTGTTTGTGTTCTGTGCTATTATGATTGAAGAGCATTAATAATTATAGTTGCTATAAATTATTGATTATTATAAATAAACAACTGTTATGTTCTATGAACCATAGAATGATATTAATATCTAGATTTCCTCCAACCTTTGAAGCTTAGTTATCAGTAATATCACAAGTTCATAACTACACTAATTAAATCTATAAAAGTATAAACCCTATTTCAAAAGAGAATATACCGGGCAGCGGCGCACATCTTCTGCCAAGTACCGTTGGTTAAAACAAGCATGTTACAAGTGATTACTCGTTGTAAACCTATATGTATGTAGTGTCAAATATCTCAGCCACCTGTTAACTTTAGCACTAATAGTTGTACTCTTTACTTATAAAAAAAAATTAGTCAACCATCGGTGCCAATGAGATATTACAAATAATTGAAATCAGCGTATACACTATAGAGTATACTTATCAGATAGCATCAGACTGCGAATTTTATATACGTTTATTGCAATTTTTTGGTAAAGTGGGAGAAATTGGCCTCGGAACTGCTGCCAGGCATGTCAGTTGCAATTTTTGAAACCGTTGTATTCTTTTTTGAAATGAAATATAAGGGTATTTATCCATTAATTGTTCCTTGTTAAATATTTTTTCCATGTTAAATTAACCTTGTTATATTAAATTATTATCATCTTAACATTATGATTGCCCTAATGTTCTCGTAGTTGACTTAATTCTTAATATCTATATTTTTGGATCGTTGAAAATTTTTTTTGTTTTGAATATTGAATTCAAATTTATAATATTATTGCTTATTAAATATTTATTGTAAATTGTACTAATGTTTTAAAAACTATTCAAGATTCATGTAAAACTTTTGAATTGTTATTAAATGATTTTTCCAAATTAGTATGATCTAATTAATCATAATATATTAAATCTATAATTTCAAATATTAATGTGTAATATTATAGGTCGATGTAGAAAATAATTCGAAAACAGAAAAACTGTGTGTTGCAGCTACAGATTTAAGAATTGAAGTTGAAGATCCTACACTTGAGGTACCTATATCTTTAATTATACATAATTATTGTATTAATAAACATACTGATGTTGTCTATTAGCAAGATTACTGCCTATGTTATCTGTTAAAAATAATAATTTTAAAAACTTATGTATTTACAAATTTATAAAATTTAAATTCTTATGTTGATAATTTGTGGATTATTTATAAATTTCTGCAAACTATTAAAACAATTTTTTTAAATAAGTAAACCTGTAAGTTATATATTATTAACATTTTGTTTGGTTAAAACTACATCGCTATAATGATATTATAACTTAACATAAAAATTTGATTTTCTTTGTTTAAAAATCATACAATTTAAATTAAATATTAGGGATCCAATATTTATTCTTTATTGGACTGAATAAACAATAAAAATGAAAAGTCATTTTTTGTGTAAAATATCATTTACAATAATTATATTTTAGATAAGTATGTATATGTTTCTTGACATAAATTCAATTTATATATTAATGTATTTTTATGTTTGATTTAATACTATTAAGAATTAAACATAGATAATACAATTTAATTTAAAATGATAGAAAATATTTATAGATAATAATTTTTATAAGATATAATTATGTTTTAAGTATTTAAAATAAGTTTTACATGCCAATTATATTGTTATTCAGTAAAATACGAGTATTAAGGTAACAGTTTTTTGCTATAGGAGGTACCGTTTCATAAAAATATAGAATGGAAAAATTATGAATTTAGGATTTATTATATTTTTGACATGTTTACAAAATTCTGAAATATTGATAAATTTATATCAGTTATTTTAGTTATAAAATCATATCCAGCATATAGTTCAAAATTCATTTTTGACCTATTATTATTCTTAATTCACAAATTTATATTGTTTTAAAACTCAGTTTGAATTTTAATTTCAATAAATTAACATTTAAAATAATATCATGTATTTAAATGTGTATAGTATAAAAAGCTGTTTGTCATTAAAAAAAAAAGGTTTAAATAAATAGGTTTTACTTAATTAGTTAACAAAAAAAATCTTTATTCTTGAAAATATAGTCCAATATTAAAAAGTTGCAAAGATCAAAATTTAAATAAATTCTATATTAAAAAAAAAATATATGGTACTTAGCGTGTTAAGTGATTAATCATTTATAAAACTGGATATAATACTTTTAAATGAATTGATCATTATCTGCACCTTCTAAAAATGCAGTTTTATTTTTATTACCCTAAATCTAATGTCTTTCTAAAATATAAGTTTTTAACATTCCTTCAAATTTTTTAATATTTTTACTTTATTTTATTTCATTGATTAGGTAAACCTATATTGGCCCATTGTTTTATAACATGCTTAATTAGTTTCTCTATTGTCCTGATTGATATTTGTTTACAAAAAAATAAACAGTACCAAACAAATATCATGTATATATTCCGTTTTAAACATAGTTTAAATTCTAAAATTTCATTTTGTACTTACCCACAAAAAAAATTGAAGCAGAACGAGCTATAGATCTCTATCTGGCTAACATTTTAATTAGTTTGCTAACAGTTGGTACTTTTCTTAAACCCTAACATTCATAGTTTTAGTTTTTCAATTTTAATAGAATTAGTAATTATCTACTTTAAGTAAGTTTGTTAGGTAAAATTAAAATTTAAAATAAGGCTGAACTCTTATTCCAAGAGATCTATTAAATCTAAAAAAATATATATTGTTAACTAGGTGTTTGAAGAAGATAAGGACTACATTAATGAACTAGAAACATATTTAAAAAATTTAAACTTATCAGAACCATATTATGAGTATATGGTAAAAAAAGAAAAATCTGGGAAACTTATTAAATTAATACACATTTGTACAATTAAGGTAAGTGTTCAGTTATCGTTATGCTTAAATATGAATTAAGCTTACTACCTTGCAATTTATTTTTAAAATTATAGGTATTGATATTTTTTCCCATTAAATATATGTTATTATATTGGATCATAATGTATGACCTGTAAAAAAATGTATTAAGTTTGTAATACAATGTTAGAAGCTTAAATCTTTAGTCTAAAACATTTGCTAAAAAAATTAACAAATATTCCAAGGTTAAGATTTAATGTACTATTTTTTCATACATTTTTAACTAAGAAATAATGATTTCACACAAATTTAATTTTGAATCACCATTTTTGTCATAGTTATCAGTTTAATAAAAATAAAAAATGTAAGTCACTTAAGTTAAACTAGATTTATTTCAATTTATTCACGCGCATGTTATATAAATATATTAATTTTCATGTTTCACTTGACACATAATGAGTTATTGTTTGTATTAGCCTTTATATATTGAGTATCATAGAACCATGTATTACAAGGATAAAATATTTAAGTTTTATTTTCTAGGTAAATGAAAAGAGTGTTGGTAGTTCTTTCCCAGTTGATTGTAGTTCAGATGATTATGCACAAAAAGTTGCTGCAAAAAGGGCTCTAACTACCTTAAAAAAACAATATGGTGAAAGTGTTATTTATCCAATTACTAATGATATTAATACAGTGGCATTATGCGTTAAAAGGGTATTATAATAAATAATAGATTAACGTAATATCAATTAATAATATATTGTATTCTATTTTAGCTTTTAAAACAAGGATATGAAACAACTGGTATTATGAGTGATGTCTTAGAACGTATGTATAGAGAGGAATTTCAAGAAAACATGCCTGATAATTGGGATCAACTTCTGGGAGTTTTTAGTTACTTCATATTTGATAAGCTAGCACCCAATAAAGTCGTTATATATCTTGTAATTATTTTTCTGTCAATAATAATAAAAATAAAAAAATTGATTTTGAGCTATCATTGTTTATTTAATATATAGAATGAAACTGAAAGTAATCAACAAAATGGTCATGAGTATATAGTTGAAGAAGTTGCAGATGAACAAAGCTTTGTTCCAGGTACTTCATTATTATTTGAAGATTACCTTGAAAAGTCTGTTCTCGTTTCTGCTAATTATGGTTCAACTAGTATTTGGGTACGTTTGGTTGGACAAAGTGCAGATGTAAGTATTCTTAATAGTTTTGCTAATTTATAAAACAACAATAGAAGTAAATAATACAAATAATAAATATTATGTATTTAGGAAAACTTCATTCAAATGCAAGCAAAATTCAATGACATAATGAACACAGAAAAATTAAGTATCCCTGATCAAGTAATTGAAAGTGAATTTTATGCTGTGCTATATAATTCATCTTGGCATAGAGTGCAAATACTTTCTGCTACTAATGATGATGATACAGCTACATGTTTTATGATAGATACAGGCGAGCAATTGAACATTGCCAAAGATCAAATTTGTAACCTAGAACCGATCTTTATGAAACCTAAAACACAGGTAAAATACATGATTAATAAAACAAGTTAATTGATAAAAAATTTGATATTTATAATGTTATGATTTATCCATATTAATATTATCAGATTCTTGACAAAAGATAATTAGCATTATTTAAAACTATTCATAATTTTCCATGTTGATATTTCTTCAAATCAATTGAATATTGTCTATAATTTTTCTTCATTCATTAATTACAACATAGAATAGTACTTATTTTATCTTGACATGACTTATAATTACTATGGATTATGTTAACTTTTCATAACTCTTTTACTAGTTAACAAAGTATTTTGGAAAAAGAGAATTAAAAAAAAAAAAAAACCAAAGTAAAATATGTAAAAATTAATACATTTTTTTAAATATACAATACTACATTAATATTGTGTTCATTAAGCATGTATTTAAATAATTATATTGTTCATTATTAAATTACTATAGCTATGCTTAAATTAATAAAACTTAAAATAATATAAACTGTAACTTTATTCTTATTCAATACATCATTTGCTCTGTATTTTTAGGCAATTAAATGTATTTTAAATCAATTGGATAATTTTGGTTCATTTGATGGTTTAAAAGAATTATTGGATGAAATGATTTTAAATAAAACATTCTTTCTTAAACCTGATTCAATCGGGAATTCTCCAAGAATCACTTTGTATGAAAAAGGAGGAATAAATGTAAATGATATGATTATTCAAAGATTTGTAGAAAAAACTTCTACTAAGCTACCATTATTTGAGGTAAAAAATTTTATCATTGTGTATTTTGTTCATTATTTATGATAAGAAGAATTATTCTACAGGATCAAGCCATTGTGGATGGAAATGTATCGTCAATTGTCGAGTCTGGCCATTTATATTTACAATTAAACTTTGACGTTGTCTCATCGCTTGAAGAAATCTTGTCAAACGATGAATTCTATGATCCAGAATATTTTTTGAAGAGCAAGGAAGATATTGTAAAAGACAAAGTTTATGTAACTAAGTATGAAGCTGATAACATTTGGTGTCGTGTTAAAGTTGTTGATATAATCAGTGACTCTGAAGTTAGTAACAATTATGATAAAAATATATTTTAGCAGTCGCTGACTGTAGATCCCGGGTAATAATTTAGTGGTCCATAGAATAATTTTTGGACATTATTTGTAATGTTGTGTTTACAATTGTATTTTACAAAAGTATTGTATAATGTCACTATGTAGGTTCAGTTACGAAAAATGAGAATAAACGAGTAATAATATTGTCGCTATTATTGTATATTATAAAATAAATAGACTTAATATCATATTGTAGGTTTGCGCATCATTATCACAATTCGTTCTAAAAACACTAATGATTAAAATCCAGTCTTCATTTTAATTTCTTTTTTTTTTTTTGTAATTAATAATAATTAAATTAACTTAAATAATTTTGTTATGAATAAAAAAAAACTCCTTTAGTGATAATTTTAAAAATATACGTTAATTTAGTATTTAAGACTTATGAGTATAAGTGGTCTGTAGAATTTAGAGTAATGGATTAAGTGGTTCGCGAGGTCCAAAAGGTCGATAACTGCTGCTTTAGAGATAAAATTTGATAAATTTGCAATTTGTTTTATTGCTTTATGGCTTTCTTCATATTGTTTCTTGATTTTCTTATTATTATGTTTATATTAGTCATTTAATTAACTTATTACGTTAAATAAATGCTGATTATACTTTTTTCTTTCAATATTTAAAAAAAAAATATGTGTGGAAGTTGTATATCTTTTTTTTATACATATATATTCTAGGTTTCAACAACAATGGTTATTAGCCTGTAATCAGTTTTTACAGTGGAGGGGGGGAGGCTACTGTTTTTGAAACGTGTATATGTGACTATGGTTTGTGACTAAAAACCTGGATGGTTGCCCATCCGGGAGCTAGCGACACCGGTTATTGCTTGACCTGTTAGCGACTGAGACCAATCACTGTGCCACGATTCATATTTTATTTAATTAAATTTATGTTATTAATCAAAGTTAATTCACTAATGTCTTATAGTTGACAAATATTATGATAGAATATTTTGTCATACTATTTAAATCATTTGTTTTTCTTAATTTTTTAAATACAAATACATACAATTTATTACTATGGACAAAATTCAAAAAAAAATTTTTGTTTTATATGTACTTAGTAAAGTTATACCTGATATTAAAATTGTATCATTACTTTAATATGTACAATAATTTATATTTTAACTTGACATATAAATAAAAAACTTATTTTGAATATTGAATAAATTTAATGTTTTTAAGATTTCACTGATGGTTTAAAATAACCTGGGACCAAATATTTTAAATTAATATACTTAAGCTTGAAATCAAACATCCTGAAGATCTTAATTTATATTTGCAGGAATCAAAAAATCTGTGACCTTGTTTTTTTTTTCTCACAAAATTATATATAAATAAAAGCAACTTTATTGAATAATAATTATTGCCTTGTTTTTGTTTTTCAAAAACAATGTAATTTATTTTTACTAAGTAAACTATGTTTTATTATTTTAGGCCAAGATAATGTATATAGACTACGGTAATACGGCACAATGTGAAATTACTAAAATAGCTAATTTAGAATTCTATGATCCATTGTTGGCTAAAATTGCTCCTCAGGTATTCAAATAAAAAAATTAATATTTTCATATAATTAAAATATTTTCATATAATTTTCCAGGCTATAAAAGTTTCAATGAACTTTATACCTCCAAATACTATGACTCCGGATATTGCCCAAAAGATATTTGATATTATTGGGAGAGATACAGTTTTAGTAAATACAGTTAATGCACCTAATGACGATGTGCCATGCGTTCAACTTTACAAAACTGAACCAGATTCACCTAATATACCATACTGCATTAACATACCATTATTCCAAAGCTAAAATTAATATTAGTAAAAGTATTTATAAGTTGTATCAATCAAGTAATTTCATTATAGAATTCTATAATCTATGGTTATACTTTAATAACGCATATTTTTATGATAAAATTATTTGATTCAATTATTATTTTCAAATTCATCATTTTAAATCAAATCTTTATGATCAATATATAAATTACAATAGGCTGTAAAATACAATACCAAACTTATTAACAACTTGATAAATTATCACGGTAACCCAATTTGGAGAATATATAAATTATTCAAATTTAGAATAGTATCGTAATATACATAATACCATTGTTTATTATTTGTAAATACTTTGTTAAGAACTCATATCAACATTGTAAAACAAATTATTTAATTGGACGATTTACTGAAAACTTTTTCAATGTTACCCATAATATTTTTATTAAATGTTTGTTGTGTGATTATTAGTGATATTTAATTGGTACCTTAAATATTTTTTCATATTAAAATAAAATATTGATAATGGAATTTTTGTTTATCTTGTGATCTGTGACTAGTTTTACCGTCATTAACCAGATCAATTATTAATGTATGAATTAGTCATTAAAAATAGTAATGAATAAAAATGAAAAAAAGATTTATTTATACATGGTACACTATTGTAAGTTATCAAAATGTTGTAATGTATGAATTATACATTTCTTAGCAATGTCAACATTACATATTGTTTTACAAAACGTATTTTATGTAATTAATAATTTTTTTTTTTTTTAACTTTAAAGAAACAATAAATTACCATTTCTTAAAGGACACTTAATAAATTGTTATTATTAAAATCTTAATGGTTAGTTTGATCTGATATTGTTACATTAATTTTATACAAGTGTTATTTTCTCACTCATAATTTTTTTTATTATTATAATTATTATTTAAAATGTAAAATAATATTCATACGTCTTAAGAGACAGTTGAAGAATTTAAAACAAAATGTAATATTTGTTTCATTTGTATGTACACTTATTATTTATTTATGTCAATTGCATGTACTGAATGGTCTTCAAATATGCAACATTTTAACTAGATAAAAGTAATTTGTACTATGTGAAAAACTATATTATAACTTTGAATTCAATTTTTTATGATTGGTTTTTAATATTTTTTATGTAAGACATTAATAATTTAAATAGACCAACATTTATTTATATATTTATCACTGTTAAATTATAGTTTAATAAGTTATCTTTGACAAACTGACTCCCAGGGTAATTATGATTAAACAACTCCTAAATTTGAAAAATTAATTAGCTAATACAAATAAAATTAGAGTTGCTTTTCTCAAACTTAATTTTATTTATAACATGAATTTTTTTTAGATCCAACTTGTTTGTTTTGTCAAATAAATGAAAAAAAATTTTTTTTTTTATATACATAACAATATGGTTTTTTATTTTATAGTTAAGAAGGATATTTAAACATGATAATTAACAAAATACTATAAAACAAATTACATTTTTTTCTGATTATGTAACTGAAAATTTAGAGAATTCATTGCCTTGATCAATATCTTGTATTAAAGAGGATGCCAAGAGTTCTGGCGTTACTGGTGTTCTGAGATAATCTGAAACCAATTTTCTAGCTGGTTTCCCACCACCATATTGTAAGCATTCTGTTCGTAATCGTTCACCTTGAATTCTATTTAGTGGATCATTACTCAGGAATGAATGCCATGTGTGTGCTGCTAATGCTTTGGATACTAAATATGAATAATACTTTGCACCATAACCAACAAAATGTGAAAAATGTAACTGCCATGCCTAAAAAATATTTAAAAAAATATAAATATAAAGCTTAATTTTACTTTAAAATGAACATGTCTTACAGTGTTTTTAACATATGGAAGTCCATAATATTCTACTTGTAATTTTGCAAGCGAATCTGTTGTACTTAATGATTGTGGTGCTTGAGTATGATAATATTGGTCTAGTACAGAATAAAATAGCTGCAGCTGCATTTCTGAAGCAGCAAATAAATATTTGGATGTACATAACTTTTTTAACATGTCATCTGGCATGGGTTGTCTAGTTTTAAAATGCTTGGCATACTGTTTTATGACCTGTATAGTATAGAATACATGTGAAGCATACAAAATAGTTAATGCCTTTTATTATATTATTTAAGTTTACTTGTGGTTGTGTAGCATAATATTCCATCAAAACTGATGGAAATTCTGCCAAGTCTGTAGCACAACGTGTACCATTGACATGTTGATAACGTGTTCGGCCCAACATAGAGTGTATTGCATGTCCAAACTCATGAAATAGATTTTCAACAGATCCAGGATGTAAGAGTACTGGACCATAATTCTCACGCCATACCACATTTAACATAACTACTACAATTGGGGTCTAATACAATAAATTTTAGCATTTTTTTACATATTCATTCAATAATTTATGGACAACATTTACTTGATAAGAATTATCTGGTAATAGTCGTCCTCCTCTGACAACATAATGTGAATCATTGTGTAGTTTTCCTGTTCTTTCAAAGAAGTCGCAATAAATATATCCAAGTAAACCTTCGGTGTTATGAGTAACTAAAAATAAAATATTTTTTACATTAAAAAAAATTTAGCGAAGAAATTGGAATTTTATGGTTACCAGCCAACTTATATATTTGTTCGGCCCACCCTTCACCTGGCTTTATATCTTCAAATACCAAATTTATATTGTACAAACTATTGAAAATCATATTCAAACCTTCCATGCAATCTCCTAAAGAAAAATATGATGCATAATCAATCATTGCATATTTAAGATGGTTCTGTTTAATCTTGTTAGTCAAATATTGAACATCCCAAGGTGATACAATCTAGACAAATAAAAACAATTATTTCTGTTTTTTAAGTACAAAAAACGTGCGATTTTAGATATGTTTTAGTATACAAACAAATAAATGATCAATTCAATTATATGTATAAGAAACAATTTTAGGAGTTGGGAATAATTACATCATTATTATTGGCTCGTTTCATAGTTTTATAATCGAAAACTGACCGAATCCTTAGCTCTGTATTAAGGATATTCAAAAACTCCATAACAAAACAAGGATTTTCGGCTATGCTGTTTTTTAGGGCTCTAAAAAACAAAACAAAAAATGTAAACATCAGTAACTCAAGTTATTGATACTTGTGTATAATTCCTCAATTCTCACCTATGAGCATATGATGGAAATCCACAAGTCAAAGCCAATTTATGACGGCTTTCTAAAAGGTTGTCCAACAATTCTTCTGATTCAGCATTAGGGCCATTGTAAACCTTGAATGCGGCTTCTCTCAAAATTCGATCTTCAGAATGAGAATTAGGATGACTGACTATCAATTTCCCTTCAGAGTTGTAATTATACCTAATCAATAATAAATAATAAGCTAATTTTTATAATTAGTTAACTTTTAGATCAATTGTTTTACTCTTTAGAAAGAACTTTAGAAACAACATCAGGCAATTTAGTTGGATCTACAATCCTGGGTTTTTCAACTGCAGTCATAAATCGTTGTCCAGTAACCAAAATAAAATTGTTTAAATTGACCACATATTGTCTTTTCCTTTCTTCTAAGTGTATGCCATTTAATTCGAAATCAAATAAAAATAATTCACCAACATGTTTATCCTCTTCTGTCATAGGGTGTTTGTCACCATCTAGGATTACTTGTTTCAAATTTGTATATAAATCTTTGTTAGTATTTAATCTAAAAAATAAATATTGTATGTAATAGCAAATTTAAAACTAAGGGATAGTATTTACTTTTCTACAATGGTATTCATGGAAATACAACAATCTTCAGCAGCAGCAACAAATGATTTATCTGGATGTGCTGTACGAATGAATTCAGCCATATCAGCAAGACAACAAAGACAATTGGACAGCTGGTCAAAAATTGTCACCAGATTTCTCTTGCTGTTAAATGACACAATTAAATTACAATTTTATAATTTAATTTAATATTTAATTAAAAAATAGGTACTATTAAAAGTTATTATTCACTACTCAGAAAAAATGTAATTTATTTGATGACTATGTTTAAATACAAATCATAATAACTGGGTAAAATTGAATATATTTTTGTTTTAAATAATTTGTTAATGTTTTAACTTGATAATATTATTGGTACCTAATATTATCATAAATAATAAATATATTTTAAAGAATTAATTAGTATTATTAGTAGTTAGGTAATAAATGTCAGAATTAATGTTTAACTTGATTTTAAGATCATACTTTAAATAAATGATAAATCATTTATTTATGATTTATTAACAGATCCAAAATTGTAATTCTATTTTCTAAATAATTAATACATATGCCATTGAATAATATGAAGAAAAAGTATACCGATTGGGATTGCGTATTTCATCAACAAGATTTTCACAATCTATTTTTGTACGCTCCTTGAATGCATAAAATCCCTCAAATGAAATCAATTCTGGTGCACCGAAAAGTCCCTAAACAAAATTTCAATTGCGTAGTTAGTATTCAGTTATCAATATAAAATTAATGTATAAGTCTTACAGTTTGGTTTTTGACAAAAAATTTGAACTTTGGTTTTGGTTGATTGAAAAGCTCAGACAATGGTTTAGCCAAGGCAACGCTGTACCTCTTTGCATACCGTACGTCATGAATTGTTTTACGTAGAATCATAATTTGTAGCTTTTATGTAAATCGGTAATTCACTTCTCACATTCAATAGTCAGACTAACAGATGTCGAACGCATACTGATTAGTGTTTAATTTTGTCGTTTGGTACCATAAAAAAATATAGGTACAGAAGTTGAGGTTGACTAGTTTTAATGTTACTTCAGCGGTGTGGGGTAATAGTTTTATGTAAAATATTATAAATATCAACGTGACCGCAAATAATTCGAAAAATTATGAATAAATTATTAGAATCACTAAACGAGCTGAACAATATGCGTATCTCGATTATTTGGTAATATTTCTAATTTCTAATTCAACAATTTGATTTTAAACTCGATATTTAAGTATTAAAATAAATATAGTATATACTATGTGCTTTGTATTTTGGCTTACGAAATACGAATCTTGATATTATCATTTATCATGTGTATTATTGCTGTGACGTTGGGGGGATCATGAACGGGCATCGGGCACTTTTCCCGAAATCATGGACTCAGTAATACCGCCTTATTTTCTATTGCTAATATGAGATAATGAGAAATGGTTTTAATGATAACGGAGAAAAGTATTTTCTTTCGTTGCTACCATCATTTTTAATCATTTTTGTACTAAATTCTTTTTTTTGTTTCGTTAAAATTTTCTTCTTTTTGTTTAATTTATGTATTAGTATATTATATGTAATGTATATAAATACATAGTTCATTGTTTGTAAATTAATAACAAAACGTTTAATACATGTCGAACTCGCAATCTGTATTCAATTTCTGCCATGTTAATTACAAGACCCCTGACAAGATGATGTCTTCAAAGAGGTAAACTTTGAAATATCAACCATCAGTTTCTTGAGGGTTAGCTAATGCATGATTTTTATTTATTTTAGTGGATTGAAAAAATTGTCCGAAGAAAGTTTGACCAGGCAGCCGGAAGAAGTGTTTGACATTATTTGTAAACTCGGAGAAGGGTAATATAGTTATAATAATAGTAGGGTGACCATTTTTTATAGAAATAAAAACCAGGACAAATAATTTTTTATTTTTCTCCACTTACATTTAAATTACAATTTATTAAAATAACAAAATAATAATTAATAAATATAATTACAGCTGAGAATTAAATGCCCTAAAAAATCTCAAAAAATGCTTTTCAAAAATTTCAAAAATGACTTAAAAATTTAAAAAATTCACACTAAAAATTAATTTAAATTTATTCATCATAGGTCAAAAATTAGAAAAAAAAAAATTTAAAAAGAAACTAAAATTGTGAATTTTTTTTATTTAATAGTACATTGTTACTTCTGATGTTCTTCTGATTTTTCATTAGCAGAAAGACCTTGCTATAATTAAATGTTTGCTATCAATAATAACTTATGCTATATAATTTATTATTCGTACCGTTAGCAGTTTGTCGAAAGTCTCTTGTAAATCATAACAATTTTAGTTCATTTTATGAACAAATTGTGAAAAATACTCTAGTAACTAAGAAAATCATCGAAAAAATGCATTTATGATTGATTTAGTAAAAAAATACAAAAAGATGAATAAAAATATTACTTCAAAATAATCAGTATCACCCAAAACACATTTTATACTTACGAACTAATATTTTGAAACACAAAAATAAGATGTCTTTTCATCAAAATTTCAGCCCTAATAATAATTATAATATGTTGCTTTTATTAAAATTGTTTCATATTTATTATTTAATAATATGGAAATTAGGGGGTTAAATTGATAGAATTTTTTTAAAAATGGGATAAAAAGTGTCACATTTGGAATTAGTTGGGACAACGGGACATGATGATCAAAAAAGGAACAATCCTGTTTTAAACGAGACGTGTGGTCAGCCTAGATAATAGTGCAATGAAAAATGTAAGGTTTACTTAACTTCTATTTGTTTTCAGATCCTATGGAAGTGTATTTAAAGCACTGCACAAAGAATCTGGCCAAGTACTTGCTATTAAGCAAGTACCGGTCGACACCGATCTTCAGGAAATCATAAAAGAAATATCCATAATGCAACAATGTGATAGCCCCTATGTAGTTAAATACTATGGTTCATATTTTAAGAATACTGATTTATGGGTAAACAAAATATTTTAATTATATTATATTATTTATTTTTCTAAAAATATTAAGCTTTTTTTTGTATTTTAAAGATTGTTATGGAATATTGTGGTGCTGGTTCAGTATCTGACATCATGAGATTGAGAAAAAAGACACTGTCAGAAGATGAAATAGCTACTATATTGTCTGACACACTTAAAGGACTGGAGTACTTACATTTAAGGAGAAAAATACATAGGGATATTAAAGCTGGAAATATATTGTTAAATTCTGAAGGACATGCTAAACTAGCTGATTTTGGGGTTGCAGGACAGCTGACTGTAAGTTTATATAAAATATATAAAGGTGAAAAATCACAAATAATTAATGAATTATTATTATTATTATTATTTAGGATACTATGGCCAAAAGAAATACTGTAATAGGAACTCCATTTTGGATGGCACCTGAAGTAATCCAAGAAATAGGATATGATTGTGTTGCTGATATGTGGAGCTTAGGTATATTAATTAATAAGTTTGTAAAAAGTAACTTTATAACAACTTAAGTACTTGATTTAAGAATTATTATATGCTTCAATGACAATAATTTATACTGTATATTAGGAATAACTGCATTGGAAATGGCTGAAGGCAAACCTCCATATGGTGATATACATCCAATGCGTGCCATTTTCATGATTCCAACTAAACCACCACCTTCATTTCGAGAACCAGATAAATGGTCCCCAGAATTTATTGATTTTGTAAGTCAATGTTTAATTAAAAATCCAGAAGAACGAGCAACAGCAACAAAAATGTTAGATCATGAATTTATTGGTAAGAAAATAATACATTTTTATTATTTAATTTATCAAATTTATCTAAAATCTTTACATCGCATGATATAACCTTAAGCAACACCTAAATCCAAATAGTCACAAAATCCTTAAACTCTGTTTTATCCGTATCTCAATCAGCTTAGCACACTAATCCTGGAAAATTGAATTCATTATAAAAGAACTACATAATAAAAAAAAGCTCCAAGCTACGATCACATTACAAATATCACAGCTAAAAATTTACCTAAAAAAAAGTAACTCTATTACTATCTTATATTTATAACACAATGCTTTGCTTATCCTACTATCCACTTACCTAGAAATTCTCTGAAATAAGATTAATTCTAAAACTAAACAAACAACCCAAAAATTTTAATTCATATCACCCTATAAGTCTACTCCCTACACTATCCAAAGTATTTGAAAAAAAATTACTAAAAAGACTCCTCTCCTTGGCTATAGAAGTAAAAATTATCTCAGGTTCTCAATTTGGATTTAGACCTAACCATTTGACTGTACATCAGTTACACCGAGTAGTTGATAATAAATCTTTGTCATTAGAAAAGAAACATTATGCAGCCATCTTTTTGGATGTATCACAAGTATTCGACAGGGTCTGGTTTGGAAGGCCTACTATTTAAATAAAAAAAATTCTATGTGCACATTATTTTTTAGTTTCTATTAATAAAATCATACTTGACTGACCGCACTTTTGCTGTACACCAGAACTCAAGCTACTCAAACTATTTTAATATTTGAGCCGGAGTTCCTCAAGATAGCGATATTGCTCCTTTTTTTTTACAATGTATTCACTCTTGACATCTCAAAAAACATTTTTAACCGAACTCAATACTTATGCTGATTGTCGGCAATTGTGACTTCCAACAAAAATCTTGCTATAGTTTCTAGTATAATACAAGGACACCTTATTATAATCCACTTATGGACAAAGCGATGAAAAATCAAAATAAATCAATCCAAGTTCTCCCACTTAGCACTTACCTTAAAAAAAGCAATGTGTCCACAAGTTACAATTAATATTATTCAAATCTCTACTTATTCAGAAGTAAAATACCTAGGTCTTATCCTAAATAGCAAACTAACATGGAACGTCCATCTAAAAGAAAAAACAAAGTAAAGCTCTAAATGCTCGTCTTTATCTACTAAGGCCTCTTCTGGAATCTAAAATGAACATAAATTACTTGAAAGCAGCAAAACCTTCCAATACCCAAACATTACAAGCCTTTCAATCTATCTGTCTCTGCCCAATCTCTTCTGCTCCCTGGTACATAATAAACAATAACCTTCACAAAGATCTCAAAGTATACACCTTAAACCAAATTTCCAAAATTTACTACACCAAATTCTACAATAAGCTTCAGTCACACTCAAACCCTTAATCACCAAAAACCCTCCTCGATAACTTACTAGGATGACTAAAAAGAAAATGATATAGGGACCTTTTGTCCTAGCATCGAATATTACTAATTAAATAAGCTCATGTGCTGGGTGTTACCACTGGGTAACTTCCCATAATCAGAATATTCATGTTCTTATATTATTTGTATTATTTATCTCATCTGCTTATTGTACATACTATTATACATACTTATTTTTCATAGTAATAAAAAATTTATTATAATGTTTATTTAAAATTTTTTTATAAAAAATGATTTTATTTTTAATAATTTTCAACATTTTCAAACAATTATTGTTAAAAATTAGGTAATGCAAAGCCACCAGAAATTTTAAGCCAGATGATTGTTGAAGCAAGAGAAATTAGAGAAAATCAAACTCTTCGTTCTAATGCATCATGCAAAGTAACATCAGCTGAACATAAAGATCAAAACTCCAAAGTAATTGGCTTGGATGATTAAATGTTATAATTAAGTGGATGTATTGGTTAAATAATTTGTCTGTTTAGGAAGATGATATTGACAGTCGTACAATGATAGTGGATGATAGTACTCTAGTACCAGATAAATCAAAAGGGACAAGTTTAAAAAGTAACTCAGTTATAGAAGAGTTAAGAACAATGGTAATTAATAGTGATGGAGAAGATGATTCCACAATGAAAAGTATGTGCATTAAATATCTTAGATGTTTGAAACAAGTTAATAGTTTTTTTTTTTTTTTTTTAATATGTTTGATATTTTAGGACATGATACAGGACCTGAAGAATCGGGTAAAAAGTATAGACCCTTATTCTTAGATCATTTTGATAAAAAAATTGCAGAAAAATCAAAAGTAATTATTAATAACTACTGTCTTTAATTTATTTTAAATATTATTCATTAACTTAATATAAATCTTGATAATTATTTATATCATTAATTTAGAATGATAATTTTGAGTCGGAAAACAAATTATTTGATGATGGACCACATTCTGCTCAAGATGTTTCTCAAGTAATATATATTATTCTCATAATTATATGATAGTAAACTAACACTTTGAAAATATATTATTATTATTTTAGAATGACGAATGTGAAAAAACTATAACTTCACACCAATTTCCTATGCCGCAAATAAATTGTAGACCTGACGTAAATGCACCTACAACTCTTCATCAAAACCGACACTACTCACCAATTGTTGATGGAGACTTTGAATTTGTAAGTTTGTTTGTATATTCATAGTAATTTAGAAATCTTATTTTAATAGTTTTATATCACTTTTAAATTCAATTAATTGTCATTATTCTAGTTAAAAGTCACAATTACGTATATAAACATAGTGGCAAATCATTATAAGAGACAATAAAACGGTGTCTACCCTCATTTATAATAGATAAATTATTAATAAAATATTTAATTTTAAAATTTTAAATCTAATATCTAGTACAAATGTTAATAAAAAATTTTATATTTTTTAACTTTTCAAAATTGTTAAATTGTCTTTTATTAATCCTTAAAACTAATTTTAATACTAGCATAATTAATTTTACTTTTTAAATTTTTAAAATATAGTTAAGGTATTTAACTTTTGATGACTTGCAACAACGAATGTCCAATTTGGATTCTGACATGGAACGTGAAATTGATGAGCTAAGACGTCGCTATCAAACAAAACGCCAACCAATACTAGATGCTATGGATCAGAAGCGTAAACGACAACAAAATTTTTGAAATATTTATTATCTGTACAGCTTAACATTATAATTATAAAGACATTGATGGTTGACCTCAGATTTTCTGCGATTAAGGTGCTATGTTTATGTATGCCAGTCAGTTCCAAGGCAGGTAATATTTATAAACTCAACTTCCATATAATTTTTGAAAAATGATATAACAGATAAATTATCATTATAATAGCCTTAAAAAATATCTCAGTCATTTATTCTGTCTTAAGTATTATTATAGGACAAGTTATTTTAATCTAATAGTATAAAAAGTACAATTTTTAATATAATAAGTATAATTTCTATACAACTATCCATATTTGTTTTAAATATTTAATAAAGTTTTCAAATACGTTTTTATTTTATTTTTCATTAATATTAATATAAATTATCAAAATTAATGCTAGAAATTATTTAAAATATTTAGAAATATAACATGTTAATTATGTATCAAGTTACGCATTGATCAATAATCAATTATACCAGTATAGGATATGATTTTAATCTTTTTTTATATCATATGTATAACATTTATGTTTTTCCAGTTATTTTTGGTCTTCCTTCATTTTCTTCTGATTTTTAAGTAACATCATATTTTTACAAAAAATAATAATAGCTTTTGTCATTAAATTTTAGTTTATTATCTTAATGATGATATATCTTAATCTATTATTGAATGATAATTCATTATATTTTTTGGAATTTGATATGTAGTTGTTTAAAAAAAAAAAATCAAAATTAATTTTGTCTATGTTCTTGTTTGTACTGGAAGAACTTAAACATAATAAAAATAAAATACAATTGGCCTATTGTTATGTTTAAAATTATTGAACTTAATATAATTCATAATTAAAATTCAGATAAGGTCGGGTATTTTTAATATTTATTTTTTTGTTATTGAAAAACTAAATAAGATATTGTAACAATATTTTGGAATTGTTTGGCTGAGTAAAAATGACTGCACAAATTAAATTTAATTAGGTATATTTTAATAACAATTGTATATTTAATTAGAGCAATATTCAAATTGTATGTTAAAATTTTAAAAATGTAGACAGGACAGGGTGCAAAAGTTGTAACCATCATCGAGATTTAAAGACTGGTTATTACTTATTTTTTGATTTTATTTTTAGATGATTTGCATTTTCAGTCCATATCTTTAAATTATGATTATTGTATTAAGTAGATAACCAACCCAACTATTGCTATATTAGTGTAATAATAATAATAAAAATAAGACTGACTGGAAATTGAAATCATTGGATCTAATAAATGTTAATGTAATTGTAAAACCAATAATTATGTTTTTGGTTTCATATGTTCCAATAAAAACAAAAAATTTCTGGTCAAAAATGAATTATAATCGTAATGTAATATTTAAAATTTTATGTGTTTTGTTGTTGTTATTTTATACTAATGTGCTTTCAATTTAATTTTAATTTTTTTTTTTTTTATGTGAGTTTAATGAAGTAAAATCTTGTTAACAAGGTTGTTATATTTTAGATAAACAATAAATATTCATTAGGGGTAAATATTTATTTATTTAGATAAATGTGTATTGTGTAACACTTGTATTTTTGATATGTAACTAAATAACTACTTTTGTTTAAAATGAATTCCAAAAAATTTTGGTTGAAATATAATAATTTCTGTTAAGGTTTCTTTAAGAATTAAAAATAATAATGCTTTTAATTGATTTAGTACAATATTTTGTCAACTGTATATTTTTTTTTACTAAATTTGTAAAATCAATTACCTATGCTTGGGGAAAATTTATAAAAAAAGTAGGTAATTTAATGATATGTACACCATTTAAAAATAATAAAATAGTTTATTCTATTTTTAATTATTATGTTAAAATTTACAATACATGTTTGTTTTGTGGACAACTTAAAATTTCTCATTAAATTACAAAAAATTGCTCAAAATTTCCTGTTTTAGTGTATAATATTTACCATTAAAAATATTTTAATATATACATAAAGTGTTTATTAACATTTTATTTTTTTTTTGTGTGAAACATTGATTTAACTTAAACATAATGTTTAACTGTATTGTGATAGTTGTACAAATCTTACAGTAGTATTGTATTTAACATGGTTTAATTCGTCATATTATTATATATCTATAATAACATAATATATACATTAAACTTGCACATGCCGACTTGTGTATTATAACAATTTGTCGTGTTTTTTTTGTTTATTACCTGTTTAATTTATTAGTTTTGATTTTTAAAACCATTTATTAAATACTTAACAGTTTTGATATAATTTCAGTTTTAAATTTGATCTGGTCACATGCTATTCTTTTGTGTAAACCTGTTAAAAAAAAATAACTAGACCTGAGGAATTTAGTAAAACTACTATCCAGTTTATTAAATTGTTGAGCTATTATATTCAAATGCATCACATTATCTTTTATTTATTAGTTCTACATTTGTACATATTATATACGTAATAAATTCCGTGCAAATCGTTAGGATCATGACGGGTGGCGAATGATTTAGTGTTTTACGCTCGTTCACCAAATTCTTATTCACCACCTACTCTGGCAAGTAGCGCGGTAGATGAGGTTCTGTATCACTCATCGTGATCTCTTCATGTCGCGAAATACGTTCTCAAATAATATTCTCCACTTGTCTTCAGATGTTCTACAATATTTTTTTTTACATTTAAGTTAAAACATAGAATATTTTCATTTATCTGTTCTACAATTTCACATTTGATCGCTAAAATTCAATATATTTTTCTTAAAATATTTTGCCTGGAACTGGTTTGTAGTTAATTCCGCATGTACGAAACTGTAATGTTCTTCCGTGAAACAGATACCTACTCACCGAATGTAGTAACTCAGTTGCATCAAGTATTTCTGCACTAGCTGATGTCAATTTGATTAGAACTCAACTCGTCTTTAAACCTATGTAAGAAATGAACACGTGGCGGTAAAACTATTTAATTTAGCATAATATGGTATCGTTCATTGCGCGGAGTAGTCTGTAAATATAGTTGTAAATATGCAACGAATCGCATTACGAACGTGCGGTTGGCCTACCGCAAAATGATTTTTATGAACAAATATTTAAAAAGTAATTTTGCTCGCCATTATATCGCAGAATAACAGTATAAATTAAATTAAATTTATTATGTGATTATAGGTGTTGAGTATTTATTATCACGACATTTTTAATTGTGCACATTATAATAATTAGTCTACACATACTTCGTATTTATTTTACGATACGATTGAAAACTAAAAATTCCTACGCTGTTGATTTGTGAATGTTATCTAATATATCCTGTTTTTATTAGGCGAAGGCGGTCGAGCCACCAATCCCACGTTCGTTAGGCTGCAGCTTTACAGTTGTTACGGGTGAAGCCTCGCCCAGCGTTGTCCGTGATTATATCTTATACGTGTAAAGATGCTGGACGACTAGCACTTTCGGTAATCGATACCAATCGAATGGCGATATTCCACATCGTTGTCGATATAATTAAGGTTAAATATCGCTGTAGTAGTATGTGTGCCACTGTGCTCTACGATTCATTCCTTGATTCTATTTGTGTCAAGTCAATCATTGATAGTTTGTAAAAAACGTATGATATATATATATATATATATATATATATCAGTAACCTGGATAACCATAGCCCATATTATTTTATTTCATCAAAACGTTCATAATTTAATGTACTGTCTTTATACATAAATGAAATTTCCAATACCAAGTCAACTTCATCCATTTCAAAGTAAACGCAATAAAATAAATAATCTTAATCGAACTGATTTAAAAGTTTATGTGATTGCTATAAAAAAAAAAAAAATCAAAAAAATCTTATACTATAAAAATAATAAGCTTTAATGAAAAAACTTAGTGTTTTCTCTACGTCGAATTGTATAGATATATACGATATATATACCAGTAGTCTCTTTCGCACTCTACTTCGCCGCTATCAAATGCCATCAATACTTAACCGGGCGACAGACCGCTAGGGACGTTAGAGTTTTCGGGCAAAGGAGCTGACTGGGAAACTTCGGAAAACACGACCGGAAAAAGTTCAGCGTGCCGGGGACGGGCAACGACGTGGACGTGACATTGCGCAACCTGGTCGCGTCTACCAGACTGATCGTGACTCAGATAACGGCGGTAAGGTCGCAGACGGTGATGGACGGCTACAAGAACGTTTGGATAGTCAAGGATACGGCGACGGGCGACCATCACCGGCCGGTGATGTTGAACAAACTCGGCGACGTGCTTAACCGGTGCGCGCGGCCGGGTGGCGCCACGAACCGCATCGTTCAGAAATACGTCGAGACGCCGCTGTTGCGCAACAACATCAAATCGGACGTGTACGTATGGATCTTACTGTCGACGCTTGGCGGTCGGTTGTCCGTGTGGCTGCACCGGACATGCATCGTGCATACGGTATGCGCACGGGTTCTCATTAAACCGGGAATCTGCCAAGACGGGGC